GTGCAGAGACTGCTAGCCTTGCCACTGTTCGTGAATCTCCTACTTCTCCATTGTGCGCACACTTTAATGTCACACATGCCCCACAAAATCCTAAACTGAAGACCTTCGCTCCCTTGTCAACCACCACATGGACTCCCCATTGATGCCCCTTCCCCATAGTTGGTACTACCATGTACCTGGTCAGACAAACGAGGCATTCAGAGACATCTGTGAGACTCCACTCTCTCCCTCACTGTCCCTTATGTGCCATTTTCTATGGCCTACATCAATTTACAGCCTAAGTTTATCTTGAATGAATGATTGCAGGGTCAGTTCTCAGTGCCTGGGTTAGGCAGTCATCATTGTTGATATAAACTGTCACTTCAAGACCCTAGAAGTCTGCCCATATTTGATTTTACTCACTACATCCCAGCTCCCCCTGCCCCAACCCAACCTCACAGTCACATTGAGCTCCATTTGTAGTCGCCTCATGCCACATTAGTTCTACACTGATTCTGATCCACTCTTGTTCTAAGCCATTCTTTCTCTCTCAAGTGGTGCTCTTTTCAGCATCCTTCTTTTAGTTCTTGCTCATGCATTAAAGCACAGATAATATCTCATTTGCCAAAGTATATTAGGTATGTGCTCTAAGACACATACCTAATTGTTACAGAAACTCTAGAAAATGTGTCAGGCTTGACTTGGGGGATCTCCCAAGAAATCTCCCAATCAGAAGTGTGGTTGAAGGGTCTAAGAAATATATCTCAGAAGAGGAGGAAAAAGAAAAAGAAGAAGAAGGAGAAAAAGGGATCAGGACAGTAGTCTTAGAAGCCTTGTAGTTAGTAGTCTTAGAGGCCAGAGATAATTGCCATCACTTGTGAAATGAACTGGAAAACAGAATCCCCAACACTAGAGCTAAAGCAAGGCAACTCTAGTAGGTACAGGTGACCCTCAGCCCCCAAGTCTCCTTAAAGAAAGTGGAATTTAGGTTAAGGACAGCTAGGACAATAAACGAAGCCTCAAACTCTGTATCGTTTGAATGGCAACATCTTTCCCTACAGGTTTTCCATTTATTTATGGGTCTGTTTTTGTACTGGGTAGAGGGTACTTTCATGGCAAGAACATTCTTTCTTGATCTCTGTTTTCTTTTCTAAGTCCTGCCCTAGAACCTAGAACCAGATTTTATGAAATATATTGAGTTGGATTTCTAAGGTGGTGGCATTAGGTCTTGGACTAGATGCACCTCTGTGGTTGCCAGACAGGAATTTCCCCACCAGGGAACTGCATGGAGGCATATTTGTTTGGACCACGGGCTCATAAGAGACACTGGGGACCTGCCACAGAGGCAGAGACATTCAAAGACAGTACCAGGGACATCAGCACCTGATCTAGACACTCCATGTGGTAGCCATGAATCAGTAGGGATCTTTGAGGGACCAGCCCTGGCAAGACTGAAAAGGTGGCGGTTCACAGTGGTCAGGGACAGGATTTGCTCCCCAGAGACATATTGACTCTCCTCATGCCTAAGGAGACTCTCCTCATACCTCTAACATCACTGCCTGTCTTCTCTTGCGCTATCCTTGCTTACAATGTACATTTAAAAAATAATTCACATTTATTAAATATTAAATAGGTGATGGGAATTTTTAGAACTTAAATTCCATGTGTCTAGAGGCAGCTTTATTCTCTGACTGAATGCTCTGTGCCTACAATGGTACTGGGCAGAAAAGGTTATCAAAAAGTATTTATTCAATATATTTAAGCAATATAATTATAGTTTTATAGTGATTATAACTATTATGGCCCTAACAGGTTAGATCTTTCTCTAAAGGTCACATCATTGGGCCAAAGTTTGTCTGTTCTCAAGGTGAAGGCTTTTCTGAGCCACAGTGTCCCCACAGGACAAAAACGGAACTGCCCCTTTCCCAGCCCAGCTAGGAGCATCCTGTGATGAGCCCTGGAGGGAATGAGGAACCAGGGGTGTAGATGGCTGACCTAGCAGGCATGAGGCCCTGGTTTTGATCTCCAGCACTGCATTAACTGGCTATAAGCCCACCTGGGAAGTGGAGGCAGGAGAATCAGAAATGTAAGGTCATCCTCAGCAGCCTGGGAGACTTGAGACCCTATTTTAAAGAGAAAACAAACAAACAGAAGAGGGAAGACACAAGAAAGAAAAAGCGCAAGGACTATGCATAGGGTTGGGGGGGAAGGTTGGGGGTCGGAGCTGAGAGGAAAGTGGTGCTTGTCGGTGTCCACGCGAGTGGCTAAGATAAGAAAACAGTGAGCGCTTTGCATGCAATGGACATCGGTGACCTAGGGAGTGTGTCTGAGAGGACAGAGATGAAGATATGAGTGGTATCTAGAAATTAGGCTAGAACACCTGGAAGAATGAGCAGGGAGGCGAAGCAGAGGCAGGGCTGGAAGTCTGGGCCGGGGCTGTGTTGCTCTTGATGAGGCTCTCAATGGTGGCAGGCTTCTGCAGCCTCAGAAATAACAACAATTACTGTATACACCACAAGCTGTCCTCCAAGTCAGCAAATGCATCAGCTGCTGGTTATTTTGATGCCCTGGATAAAAAGCTCTTTCGAGAAAATCTAGTACATCAAAACATTCTTCTTCTCTGCTGGTCGGCGCTGTGCAGTCTGGCCTTGGCCCTCTCAGCTGGTTTTCGTTCCTATAAATGTAACTGTTCCAGGCCTTAAGGTTCTTTCATTAGTGACCCAGGAGGACACTTCTGTTAGATTCTTTCATGAAAGTAGAAAAAGCAAAAGGAGTAGGCACCTGACCACGGTCATCGGAACCGAGCCTGACCTGTTATGGAAACTGTTGGAAAACAACCCAGTATGGATGGATTATCTGACACCCACAAATGGTGCTCACTGTTGTTGGACCCAGCATACATATCAGGTCCCTATGCCAGGTCCTGGGGAGACTGATAGTGTGCTAAGGAGTGACATCAAGCCATCATGGGAACAACTGTGGCAGCAGGTGTCCCAGCCACTCCTCAGGATGCAGCACAGAGGAAACTCTAGGTGAACAATGGTTGTTTGTTGTTTACATATTCTTACTTGCAATTCAGGGAAAGAAACAGATCTAGTTAGAACTAGCAAAGGACTCCTGTTAAGCCAGCGTGTACCATGAGAATATGATCAACAATCTGGGGGCAGGACAGCAGGGCTTATGTTTTACTCATTTTTGTTGTTGTTGTTGTTGTTTTGTTTTGTTTTAATTTCTTTTCTTGAAAAGAGCCAAAAGTGCATCAGATCCTTTCACCCTTTAAGGAGCTATTCTGTAATTCGTAATCCCACCCCTAAATTCACAGTCAGTTATTATTTGGGCCAGTGCTTAAAAAACAGATTTATATGTGAAATGGTTAGTGGATAAATGCATTGTCTTGTCTGGAAATTGTTACCTGTTTAACTAACAATGGTAAGTGCTCTGCCATGGTGCCAATCCTGCTTTCTGCCATTCCGGTGTTCCTGAGATGTGTTCATCTACCAGTCTGTGTCTGGACCACATAGAGCATGCAGCAAATCAAAGGAGCTCACTTTCTTTTTTCTTCATCCTCCCTGGAGTGCCCAGAAGTGGAAGGAAGGTAGATGTGTAGGCAATGTCTTAGAACAGAAAGAAGTTGAAATCCAGAGGGCTGGAAGTACCTCTACAGCACCCGCCCCCTACTCAAGTGACCTCCGATGAGGTTAAAGGACCACCTGTAACTGTTACTCCACCCCTGTGCCTCACTTCATCCAGCTGTGCGGAGCCTGGGCTGAGGGGTCACCAGTAGTGGGGAGAAACTTCACCCTCTCTCTGTTATTCTCCTGAAGCCATTCCTTCCTGTGGCATTCACAGAGGCCATGGAGGTGGGGGGAGGGGAGTACAACATACTTTTCAAAAGGAAGAAAAGTCATTTCACAAGTTCATCAAGGAAAGGAACATGTGAGGGTGTGTGTGTGTGTGTGTGTGTGTGTGTGTGTGTGTGTGTGTTTCCAAAGATCACAGACCTTCATTACAACTGGTGAAAAATCTGACTTTAGGTATATTTCTGCTGGTTTGGAGCTGAGCTGAAAAGGCCCTGGGGGGTGGGGGTGGGGAGCGTCTAAGACAGGCAAGACCCCACCAGCTCCTGTATCTATCAGATCCAAGAAATTCTGGAGGGCCAGCTGTGGAAGTAAACAAAGGGGTGAAAAGGAATTGAGGTGGGGCCTGGGGCGGGGCAGGAGGCTCAGCCTTCCACTGAGTGTGTGCTGGCCGACTCTTAAAAACTCTTAATGAAAGCTGTGGATCTCAGATCTAGAAAAATGTAGGGAGCACACACAGACACAATTCCATCTTCAGCATCTAAGGGATCAGAGCTCCTGTGAGGCTCCTGCCTGTGGAAGTGGGGTATCCCAGCACTTACGGTCCTCTTCCCTTAGAACCCAGGCAGACACAGCAGTCTGCTCCTTCTAGTTAATTCTGCTTCTGCCTGGTTTCAGCTCCTGGTACTGGCCAGTCCAGGAGCTTCCTAGGTGTTCCTTCAGTGCTCAGATTTGCAGGGAGGGTTAACTAACAGCTGATGTCCGGGCTCTCGAAGGAGACCTAAGTCAACCCAAGAGGCTAGTAAGGCAGTGAGCCAGGGCAGGAGGTAAAGAGACTCCAACTCTGCCAAGCAACTTGGCCCAGCTCACCCTGTCTGACCATTGGTGTCTGGGACCAGCTGCTCTTCCTAGTGTCCTAGAAAATCTCTCTTTGCCTCTGCGACGCCTTCCCACCATCCACATGCACTTTCATTTGATTTCAGGAGGTTTGAATTCTTCCCTGTCTTTGCCTGACCAGGTCCCATCAGGAGGTATCCATCCCTTGTCCCCAGGACCCCTACATCCAGCACCCCTTGCGTCCAGTCACAAGCAGGTGCGGGGCTGGGGCTGGGGTTGGTCAGAGAGGGAGGGTTCGGATGGGTGGGGGGCAGGATTTGGAGAGGGTGTGACTGGAGTCTGGAGGAGGGGCTAAATACACTCAGGAAGCCTGTTACAGCAGCTCTGTGCTCCAGCACAGCAGAGAGCGCCTGGAGCCTGAGGGGAGCGCATCGGTGAGTCAGGCTGCGCTGAGCCGAGCCCCATGGGGTGCAGCGCGGTGCGTCGGGCCGGGGTTGCTGGGCTCCCTGGGACGGTGTGCTTGGATCCCTGTCCGGCGTGATCTTCGTGGGTTGAAACGCAGCCTTGAAAGAAGTGTCCCGAGTAGATGTAGGAACGCGCGATCGATCGTGGGCAGGCAAGGGAGGAGAAGGGAGTGAGGGTCTCGCTTGTCGTGAAATTCCCTGTCCCAGGATGACCAGAAGTCTCAAAGTCAACCCTGGCGCCTGCAGATGCTGCATTGCCTTGCCTGTGCTGTCGGGCCAGAAGGGGACAGCGCTCGAGGAAGCCTGGAGTGAGGGATGCGCGCGGCGAGCGCGCTGCGGTGGCAGAGCAGTATCCCGCGCGGTGGAGGGCGAGTGTACAGCAAGCCGGCTGCGGAGTGTGCAGAGTCTAAGTGCCATGCTGCCCTAGAGGGCCAGTCGCCCAGCACGCGCTAGACCCGGTGCTTGTCGCAGGGTTCAGAGTCTAAGATTGCGGGTGCCAAGGGTTGATTAAGGAAGCTTGGACTCCCAAGTGCCGAGCTCCAGGGCCCTCGGTGGGGCCTGCTGGACATCCTAAAGCATAGCCCTGCTGCTTGGGTCACCCAGTACATTCAGCTATCTGCTGCCAGGTGTGGCAGAGGCTGGCACCCGGGTTTGGGAAGGGCAGCAGGCGCTCTCGGGTTCAGGCAGAGAAGCTGCAGGGGAGGGAGAGGACTCTGGGGTCACGGTGTTGCAACTTGAAGCCAACGTAAACATGCGGCTTAGTTAGCTCCGTTTGATTACAATGCTCTTGTTTTTTGCAAAACTTTCTGAGATTCTTAAAGAAGGTGGTTTTTGTCTTGACCTTTCTCGTCAGATTTACTCCAGATATTCAAGAAGAGCCTGCTTGCTAGGCTGGTTTTTCCAAGTTGTTCCAGGCTGGAAATTGTAGCAGTTTGCAGGATAATTTATGGTTGTTTCGTGTGTTAAAGTGTATTGCAGCAAAGTCTTTTGGGTGCTGTGGGTATTCAGGAAAACTCAGTGCACATTCCCAGCTGCAGACCAAAATACCGCTCTCCTGGGTGCCTCTGCTCCCATCAGAGACCCTGCAGAAAAGGTAGAAAAGGCGCTTGCTGTATTGCCCTGCCTCCGTCCTCCCAGTGTACTCTCCCCGGCTGTGCCAATCCACCCTCCCCGTAGGCATGGGCAGCTGGAGGGCCCGCCAGTGACTTCTCCCCAGGCTCTCCGACTCCTGAAAATGATGAAAATGTCGGTCTCTCCCTCTCCAAGCAGAACAGAGGCCAGTACAGTTGGCTCACCACCCTCCTTGACCGGTGCCGCAGTTCCCTCCCAAATGAAACTTTCCCTCTCTGCAGAGTCATGGGCCATATTCAGCCTGATGAGTTTCATCGGTTGGGTAAGCCGTGTGTCACCCTGGCCACCTGAATGCTAATTCATCATAGATAGCATTCCCAGAGGTTGACAGGGGACAGGCTGCTTTGGGAGAGCATGGTTTGGGGGATGAGGCCAGTGTGGCTGACACTGACATCCAGAAGGCTTGGCGGTCCCTTGTGCTGGGGAGTGAAGGAGGATGGAGTTAATGTCACACCCTTCTGAACCTTCCCTCATCATTTCCCCCAATATTTTAGGCAGGTGGCAAAAAAGAGAGAGAGAGACGCCTCCAAGAGAAAGTGTTAAGGGGTACCATGTACAGGAAGTCAGGGTCTCTGGGGCATGAGGCATGTGGTTTGACAGAGCTATAGGAGTGACTCAGGGGGGTTTTAAAGCCAGCCAAACTCACTGTCATCCCGGGAGAGCCGCCTGAAGCAGCCCGGGCCCATCAGAAAGTTTGGAGAACCGAGTTTGTTCAGGACCGTCATCCTGATGCTGGTGGCTCTCAATTCTTTACTTCTAATCTCTAGCAAGGAATGGGCTCTCCTTTTCTTCCCTTGCCCACCTTACAAGCCCCATGCCCTGAGGACAGTGAGAGGAAGGCATGAGGCACCACACAGCCCTTCTCCTCCAGGGAGAACTCTATGCCGGGACCAGAAAGGGGGCCCAGCTGCCAACATCAGCATGGAGACTAGGGCAGGGCAGGGCAGGGCAGGGCTGGAGCCTCAGGGAAGTTTCTCATCCTTACTGAGATTCAGCTGATGAGAAAATCACACATTTCTAAATGAGTGCTGAGCATGACAGCTGCTCATTTGTGGAGCGCAGGGCCTCAGAGCTGCAGAAAATGAAGCCACAGCTCTTCTTTGCTAGGCATGCAACCGAACTGTGCCTAGACTCCACACGGCAGTCACAGACTGAGCCAGGCACCTGGCCATTTGTCTTCTCCTAATAAGAACTTCCATGCACCTCAGTACCTGGAGCAGGCCTTCCATTGTCAGGAAGTAGTAGAAGGTTTCCTGAGGGTGTGGACAAAGTCTCTGGTGGTCTGGGACGCAAATGACTTGTGTTTCCAGAAAGTGCCTCTTCTGTCTTTGACTGGCACTTCTGACCTTAAATACTACTCCCATCAAGCTCAGCCAGTTCTAAGATTAACTCTGAGGGAACTGGTGTTGTGTCATTGTGACGTCAGCCGGGTAAGTAAAGGGGAAGGAAAGACCCTTCCTAACCTTTCCTGGGATGTATGCTTCTTGACAGTGGAGTTGCGGCTACGATTCCTGATTCCAAATACTGAGACTAAGGAGGCTCTGAGACCAGTGTTCAAAACAGAGGAACTGTGGCCTTGATCACTGGCCTTCCAACAGCGTTCGCATAAATGGGGATGTTCCTATTTAAGCTAAAGGGAATAGATCTTCACCATAGAAGACAGCTGCTTGGGGTGACTGTGTTTTCTTTGCTCTTCTGTAGACTATGTAACATTTTTGAGGGATTTCTGTAGACCTGTTGGCCTTGGACGATCACACAGGGAGAATAAAATTGAAAGGTGGAGATGGTCTCTTGATTGCTTTCTCCTGTATTTTGAGTAATCTTCTGACGGTGGTTTCTCAGTTCTAAGAAAGGAGGCAGTCTGTGGCCGAGAGCTAGTCATTAACCTCACAGGAATCTGAGTAGTGTATTGCATGGTACCATATGTCAATGGAGCCATTGACACATCGGGGCAATTCTTGGTTAAGTGTGACCATTCTACTCACACAGGAAGTTCACTGTCCCTGAGTTAACTACTGAACGTCAGAGGTCATGATGGCAACTGGGCTTGCCTCCATGTGTAAATGGTGCTTCCAGTTAAGAGCTCCCTTGGGAATGATTGATAAAGGTCATTCTTCCTTCTGTTAAGTCATCTATGAGGCAGACATAGGACTGGGTCTTTAGAAGCTCTAGTCTTTGTCCTATCAGCATATCAGAGATTGTGCCTCCATCAAGAGGGACCTCAGTGCCCCTGCCCTGTGCCACCCCCTGTCCTCTGTGACTGGAACTTCACTGCAAATGACCCACAGGAAAAGAAAAGCAGAAATACTAGAGGAGACAGAGGGGGGTATCAGAACGTGGCAACTTCCTCCTGAGCCATATGATGTTGCCAGCATGTGAGGACCAGGGAGTTCCCAGCCCTGAAGACAATTCCTCCCTTCCTTGTTGGAAGGGTTTTCCTCTGGCAGTAGGAGCTGCACTCCCTAAAGCAGGAAGCCTCATCCCCTCACCCCTGGCACCCACAGCACTTCATACAGCACGAGCACATGTTGATATCAAGTTAATACGGCTAGCCAAGCTGTAAGGATGAATGAGAATGAATAATTCCCTCGGAAGAACAAGCTAGAGATACTGTATGGAAGGGACACGGCCTTCCACACACTGTGCTCAAACAGAACAGCTCACCTCATCCTCACCTCTGCCCCAGGTATGGCGACATAAACCCGGAACTCTAACACCAGGGAGGCAGAAAAAGAGGACTCTTAGAACTTGCTGGCTGGTTAGTCTAGCCAGATAAGTGACCTCCAGGTTCCCTGAGACAGGCTGATTCAATAAACAAACAAATAAATGAAGTGAAGAGAGAAGAGGAAAACAACTGACATTACACATGTGTGTGTGTGTGTGTGTGTGAGCGCACACACACTAGCACGCATACTACACACACACACACACACACACACACACACACACACACACACGAGCGGGGAGGGTATGGAAGATTTAAAGGGATTGCAAATGAAGCTGCCCTGATGACAAAATCTGTCAGGCAGGGCTAGCTACAATGCTTTATGAATTGCCCAAGAGCTTGGCAAGCCTTTTGCACGTGCAGCAAGTCTTTTTATTGGTAGGGGTATGAGTCAGAGCTAGATAGTCAGGGCTCCTGTGAAAACTCATCAGTAATCTAGCCGCTTGAGAAGGTTTGGCACGGCCTGGGTGGCTCTCAAAGGTGGAATCCCTATGAGCGGCTGAATCTGGCTATGAAGTTGACTGGAATGCACAGCCCAAGTTTGGCACAGAGGCTATCCCATGCTGTGCAGTTACAACCCACTGATACTGGAACAGTTTCCAAGTAACCACAAGGCATTTACTCTCTTGGAGGATAGTATAGGAACACATACTCGCTGCTCGCCCCTAAGTCATTGAGATGGGAGAGAACATTAATGCATGGCCACGGCTGATTTTTCCTGTTTCCTTTGGCTGTCCCTTCAGTAGTGAAGGTTGGTGCTCTACATGCTGTTTCTAAGGAAGCCCAGGAACAACAGTCCCTCCTGGTGGAGGCAAAAACCCAGCCATTCCCCATGTTAGAGAAGGGGAAAGTGTCGCCCCAGTCCTGTGGTTTACAGCCAGCTCTGTGGTTAACAGCCATCATTACTCATGAGGTGACTTGCAACTCTCCCCTGTTCAGTCTGGTGAAATGATACGCCATTTTTGGATCTGAGTTGACCTGGCTCAGAGGTCAGCAGACGGAGGTACTGCCTCATCACTGTGAATAACCATGTGTTAAATCCTCTGTGGCAAGTGGGAAATGCCAAGAGGACAAGTTCCCTTTGCATTCTGAATATGAGTTTGAAAAAAAATGT